TGCAATTTATTTTGATGTGATTTGGACCGTGAAAGGCCGTATCTGATATTTAATGTCTTGTTGTTTCAGGGGGGCTCGCGTGAAGGGGAAATTTAAGGAATCGTTCCTCCTACCTGCCCTCTCTGTTAAACCAGTTTTGACCACAGAACTGCCCATCCTTCGAGAGAAACTCAACCCCCCCACACCTAGCATCTATGTAAGCGCTGCAGTAGCATTGTCAGCATCTCCTGCCCCTTGTGGTCTTTTTGTGTATTACATGCACAATAACCTCTGCTCAAGTAAAAACACAGTTGATGCTCCGATGTATAAAAGTTTGTTTTAATGATTCCATGTTGTTGTTGTTTCTCTGCAGTTGGAAAGTAAAAGAGATGCATTCTCTCCGGTCCTGCTACAGTTCTGCACGGATTCTAAGAACCCCATTTCTGTCATCCGGGGATTAGCTGGCTCCCTTAGATTAAGTACGTTTATGCACAATGTATTATGGATGGATGGACAGATACTCAAGTTGTACATTTTGTAACTTTAACGGTTGCTGTTGTGGAAATTTAGTTCATTTTTCATTCCTTCCTCTTCATAGATCTTGGCCTGTTTTCCACAAAATCTTTGGTGGAGGCAAATGCGGAGCATGCAGTAGAGGTCCGGACCCAGGTCCAGCAGCCAGCTGATGAGAACTGGGATCCCAGCGGCACTGGCCAGACCTGGCCCTGCGAGAGCAGCAGGTCGCATACAACAATTGCCAAGTATGCCCAGTACCAGGCCTCCAGCTTCCAAGAGAGCTTACAGGTATGAACACAAACATACAACCAACACAACAAAACTAACACAGTCTTTGTTAGTTTCCAGAGATTTGTTGGTAATTTTGCAAATACTTTGTAATTCTTGTTTTTATATTTTACGTTAGACAGAAATGTACAATGAATTTCCATTTGAATCATGTACATCATGCACTGAACATGCACCTATACCATTGTCTGCCTTTAAAGGAAGAGAAGGGCAGTGATGACGAGGATGATGATGATGAAGATGAGAAATCAGCCACTAACTCTGAGAATACAACCTCAGCTCCCAGCTCCAGGTAATTCTTCGCAAGTTAGCACAGCACCTAATTCTTGATTTTGTCCAAATATCTGCCTCTTTATTTTTATTTTTTTATATATGTATGTATAAAACACCTCTTTAAAATGTTGTTACTTAAAATGATTTAATTTGTCTTTATAGTTTAGAGCAGAAAACTGTGGGGAAGATTATAAAATTTGGCACCAACATTGACCTGTCCGATCCAAAAAGGTAAGACTACTGTGCATAATTGCATAAATGTATAACCTTTTTTTTTTGTCATCTCATTTGGATGATATAAAAACCTTAAATATGTAAAACTTCAAGACATGGTTGGGGATATAGAAATGGGATGCTGCCCATGTAAAGTGCAAGAATGTATACAAGTCTGTTTGAACTCAGTTGTATTTTCTCTTTTTCTTTAGATGGAAGCCTCAGCTGCAGGAACTGCAGAAGTTGCCGGCGTTTATGCGTGTGTCCTCCAGTGGGAATATGCTGAGTCATGTTGGCCACACCATTTTGGGAATGAATACAGTGCAACTCTACATGAAAGTCCCTGGCTGCCGCACACCAGGTTTGACGCAATCACTAATAGCTTTCTCGATTTGTGAGTTGTAGAAATCAAAGATAGATAGTCTGCTTTGGCAAGTAGTTTTTTATTGGTGTTAAATGCTTGTATCATCAGGACACCAGGAGAACAATAACTTCTGTTCCGTAAACATCAATATTGGGCCTGGAGACTGTGAGTGGTTTGCTGTTCATGACAACTACTGGGAGGCCATCAGTGATTTCTGTGAAAAGTAAGTCAAATAACACTAATAGCCAAACAATGGTGAATTCTTATATATTTATGTTACAATAAATACTTTATTAAGAAGTTTGTGGATTTTTCTCTCAGGCATGGAGTCGACTACCTGACAGGATCATGGTGGCCGGTTCTGGATGACTTGTACCGCGCTAACATCCCTGTGTACCGGTTCATCCAAAGACCAGGAGACCTGGTATGGATCAACGCAGGCACTGTACACTGGGTTCAGGCCGTGGGCTGGTGCAACAACATTGCTTGGAATGTGGGACCCGTCAACTGTGAGTAACCTACACATTTAACTTCTGTTCTCTTTATCGTTCAAAAAGTGGTGGCTTTTGGATGTTTTAGTGCCTGTAGCACGAAAATCCCGATTTTTCATTGTCATTACAATTGCGTAAAATCTGTATGATGTGTGCCAGGAATAGCCTACTTTAAGTGGAAAATCAAATCTAATCGCTTTAAAATACATTTTATCAGTCATGACAATTACATAAACGGTTGCAATTAAATGTGTAAAGCTAAAATCCTGGGCACAGAAATGTAAAAAGCAGTTTTTCTGAATTTGTAGCTTATCAGTACCAGTTGGCTTTAGAGAGATTTGAGTGGAACGAAGTGAAGAAAGTCAAATCCATCGTTCCCATGATTCACGTATCCTGGAACGTGGCACGGAACGTCAAAGTCACTGACCCAGACACTTACAAGATGATCAAGTAAGTATGCAGCAGGAAGTTACATCCCAGTTTAGTAGCATAGGTATTTAATCCATTTGCCTGTCCTCCTTTTCAGACACTGTCTCCTCCAGTCTATTAAGCACATTCAGATTCTGAGGGACCAGCTAGTGGCAGGAGGAAAGAAGATTTCCTACCAGAGCAGAGTGAAGGATGAGCCGGCCTACTACTGTAACGAGTGTGATGTGAGTGGATTGTGCTTCGTTATTTGTAAAGTATAGGCAGACCCTACATAGAAAAACCCACCAAAGTCCTGCAGAGTTCTGTTCCAAAAAATTACACCATAATAATAATGCAAGTTTTTGTTCTTGTGCAGGTGGAGGTGTTTAACCTGCTGTTTGTGACCAGTGAGAATGGCAGTCGGAAGATGTATGTGGTGCACTGTGAGGATTGTGCACGACAACGCAACCCAAACCTCTCCAATGTAGTAGTGCTGGAGCAATGCAGCATGGAGGAGCTCATGAGCGTGTACGACTCTTTCAGCCTGGTGAGTGCACCCACGCACTGTGTCAAAGTGAACAAACAACAGCAAAGCTTCAAAAAGAGCTAACCTTTATCATTTGTACGTGTGCTTTTTCAGACTACCAGTTCCAGCTCCCGATGAGGACGTCTCATCCCTTGCCCTCACACAGCCATAACCAAAACTCCTGTTCGCAGGACAAGATCTTTTATTTTAGTCCAGTTAAGACTTAAAACATTTACCGCTGGAACAAAAAAAATACTTACTACTGTTAATATTTGTTGAACAGCCAATCGAGAACCAGTTTACTCAGCATTGTTTACAGGACCAATCAGCCAATAAATTCGACAGAATAAATTCTGTCGGTCTTGTGTACCGACCCCTGTATGGCTCTGCGGGACTTCAAGTGGAATGCAGTTTGGTGCTGTCATGGCTTACAGCGGCAGAGTTGCCGAGATCCTGTCCGTTTGGGTTTTGTTCTTAATTTTTTTTCTCGCTCTCTTTTTTGGGGATATTGAATACTGAAATGTGTAAATGCTCTTTGTATTTTTCGTGGGTGCTTTTTTCTTCAATAATTTATTCTTTTTAAACCTAGAACAGCCTAGATATATACCACATTGGCCTTGTGACTTGTATTTAGTGAAGAGATAAAAATTAATAATACTAATAATAGAGCTATGGACATTTTTCTAAAGCATTAAGAATTAAAAGAAATACAGTTGTTCAGAATGCTTCAAAACATACGGGTTTTAAAAGACTTTTTCAGTTTCAGTATGGAATGTTGTTTATATCATCAGGACAAGCATTTTTAATCAATCATTTTCCCTGCATTTTGTGAGTATAATTGTTCAGTTTCATCTGTTCTGTTCAGTGAATTGTTTCTCACCTCTATATCTATTCTTTGATTTTTTTTTTTTAACTTGTACATTTTTTATTTAAAATGTTCTTCTATTTATTGGATATAACATGTTCTCCCCTGCCTCAACTTTGTTATCAGAGATGTATTATGGGTTTCTATTGTTAGTCTAAATCCTCTAAGATTTCAAGGGTGCTGATTTCAAGCTTTGAGTTTTGGTGCTTGCCCCTTTAAACATCTTTCCTGTCTATATATTAAATATCTCATAACTGACTCTGTCCATGTAGGTTGTAGAGCACAGAAGTTGTCTGTTATACACAAATGTTTAGACAGTTTTCCTCACGTATGTTAACAGGTGACTTGTATGTGATCACTGTTATATATTTGAACACCTGCTCACTTGCCAGTTTAACTGTTTCTTTTGAACAAATAAAAGAAAGATTAAATACAGGGGCCATGTTCATATGAATTCTCAGAATAGACCTGTGCTCTTGGAATCTCTTGCTTTGTTTTTGACTAAGATGGTGACTTGGACTGATGTCAGTAATTCTGAGCCTAGATTAGCAGCTACTCTGTCATGAATTCAGGTGATTCATGAATTGGGGCTAAAATCGGTTTTTGATACTCTTACACATTCAGTGGTGCTTCTGTCCTGTTGTAAATGCGGTTTGTTTGAGGACACAGTTGCCGTGCTAAACACAGCAGGCATAATCTTTCTACATACACAGTATGCAGTAATTGGCTGCAGTGGGCTGTCATACTGGTAAGGCGAAAAATCACATTGAACTGTAAATTGCGGCATTTTACTGGAATGAGTAACAGTGTGAAGGGGGATTTAACACATTGTTTTTGATTTATATACTGTAATTTGTTACAGCTTTAGAAGCGTTAGCGTGAAATAATTAATGTATTATCAGGAAAATGGTTTTGATTATATAGATGGTGCCGAGTTCTTCTTGAGCTACTCAATTTTTTTTAAGAAATATTTTTCCTGTTGCAATATACACACGTTCCTCTTTTCCTCATTTTTATTTTATTTTTGTGGTTATTTAAAATCTGCACTGTTTTGGAATTCACACACGAAGCCTAAAATCCTGGGCACAGAAATGTAAAAAGCAGTTTTTCTGAATTTGTAGCTTATCAGTACCAGTTGGCTTTAGAGAGATTTGAGTGGAACGAAGTGAAGAAAGTCAAATCCATCGTTCCCATGATTCACGTATCCTGGAACGTGGCACGGAACGTCAAAGTCACTGACCCAGACACTTACAAGATGATCAAGTAAGTATGCAGCAGGAAGTTACATCCCAGTTTAGTAGCATAGGTATTTAATCCATTTGCCTGTCCTCCTTTTCAGACACTGTCTCCTCCAGTCTATTAAGCACATTCAGATTCTGAGGGACCAGCTAGTGGCAGGAGGAAAGAAGATTTCCTACCAGAGCAGAGTGAAGGATGAGCCGGCCTACTACTGTAACGAGTGTGATGTGAGTGGATTGTGCTTCGTTATTTGTAAAGTATAGGCAGACCCTACATAGAAAAACCCACCAAAGTCCTGCAGAGTTCTGTTCCAAAAAATTACACCATAATAATAATGCAAGTTTTTGTTCTTGTGCAGGTGGAGGTGTTTAACCTGCTGTTTGTGACCAGTGAGAATGGCAGTCGGAAGATGTATGTGGTGCACTGTGAGGATTGTGCACGACAACGCAACCCAAACCTCTCCAATGTAGTAGTGCTGGAGCAATGCAGCATGGAGGAGCTCATGAGCGTGCACGTATGTTAACAGGTGACTTGTATGTGATCACTGTTATATATTTGAACACCTGCTCACTTGCCAGTTTAACTGTTTCTTTTGAACAAATAAAAGAAAGATTAAATACAGGGGCCATGTTCATATGAATTCTCAGAATAGACCTGTGCTCTTGGAATCTCTTGCTTTGTTTTTGACTAAGATGGTGACTTGGACTGATGTCAGTAATTCTGAGCCTAGATTAGCAGCTACTCTGTCATGAATTCAGGTGATTCATGAATTGGGGCTAAAATCGGTTTTTGATACTCTTACACATTCAGTGGTGCTTCTGTCCTGTTGTAAATGCGGTTTGTTTGAGGACACAGTTGCCGTGCTAAACACAGCAGGCATCATCTTTCTACATACACAGTATACAGTAATTGGCTGCAGTGGGCTGTCATACTGGTAAGGCGAAAAATCACATTGAACTGTAAATTGCGGCATTTTACTGGAATGAGTAACAGTGTGAAAGGGGATTTAACACATTGTTTTTGATTTATATACTGTAATTTGTTACAGCTTTAGAAGCGTTAGCGTGAAATAATTAATGTATTATCAGGAAAATGGTTTTGATTATATAGATGGTGCCGAGTTCTTCTTGAGCTACTCAATTTTTTTTAAGAAATATTTTTCCTGTTGCAATATACACACGTTCCTCTTTTCCTCATTTTTATTTTATTTTTGTGGTTATTTAAAATCTGCACTGTTTTGGAATTCACACACGAAGCAAACTGAGCCAGACATGTCTTAAACACTTTGTGAATTCGTGTGTCATTGATATGATTACTCTGAATAATATTAAATGCTTTTGATAAACTTTGATCTGTGCCATGCCTCTGTATTCATTCAGTCAAAGCAACAAGGTTTCAAAAGCTTTAATGATATCACATTTTTATAAATCTTTTTTATAATTTTACATCACACTTTTTATCGCATGTTTTCGTGTCAGGTTCATCCCTATCAAAGTAACTGACTACACTGCACAATTAATCTCTTGCACTGCATCTTTGTTTATGATGAATTCGTTGCTTGCACGTACAAAGATAAAATCTGTGCGTAAGCACATTTTATAAATGAGGCCCCAGAGCTTGTTTACGTTTTGGATCAGCTCTCAGTAATATGCCCTATCACTCAAATTTTGGCACAAGAAATTGTCACTTTGTGCAGTAGCGTTTAAGTGTTCCATATTAACACACCCATGTGGGCCGGACATAATGGCTCGTGCGGTTGAAATGATGGTCAGATACATCAAGCAGCCTAAAGCATCAATCACCAAGCGTTCATTCCAACTCACAACAAATTATTTCGCAACAAACTGTAATTCATGCTCAGTTATTGCAGTTATTTACTCCCACCTTAATACTCCCAATATGTTAGCTGACACTTATCCAACGTGACTTAGGAGTAGCACAAACTACCCAGGACCTCAAGTAAAGAGCTTAAAAAGGACATTAGAGGTTCATTCAGAGGTTAATGTTGCACAGGCTTGCGGATTTCCTACTTCCTGTAAGAACAGGAAGCTCTTTTCACCCTTCCTTACTCAATTTTGCTCCATTCAGAAAGTCAAATCCTTGTTTAATGTACAAAGCCCGAAGACAAGCATCACTGAGGTGAACTCAAAATAGCACTTGCCACAAACCAGAGGCTGGTGAATGCGAATCACTCAAAGACATGTTTAGCCTTAAAAAAAATTTTTTTTTAAAAACTTGCAAAGTTTACAACTATTTACCTCAAACCTTGACAAGTAATATTTGGGATATAATTTGCACAACAGCATTTTTAGGCAGTCTTCAAACTGATTACAATCATAATTACCAATCGGAGTAATTAAAGTCCTCACTTCAGCTCTTTAAATAAACATTTCTTCCCCCACACAAAGAGTGAAGAAAGAGCGAGAAGAGAAGGGTAAGGGAAAAGGGGAGGGGACATGAGGAAGGCACTGCTATAACTGCCAGGCAGGACACGTCCATATCTCAGTCTGCCTCACAGAGAGAGAGCCAGTGGACAGAATACTGCAAATCTGAGCTAAAACCAACTATATACTTAAGAGAACACAAGAAATGAGAGCAACCATCAGACCAGTACGCAAGGAAAAACATTTTTAGAATTTTAGAAATTCTAGACGTTTTTGAACAAGGAATTCCAAACAAACTTCCATTTAAAAAAAAAACAAGGAGTGCATGTTGTGTTAGTCAAAGGCAACAAAAAGAAGAGGACTACTGGCGTCACACCATCGGGTGAGTGGAGGGTGCGGAGGGCTTGATAAGGAGCATGTGAGACTGACCTATCAGAGTCTACAGCAGGGGAATGTTTGGAATATACACTGATACATGTATCTGCTTGATTACTCGTTTTACATTAACTCACATAACCAATAGCTCAGCAATAACTGCAAGTGCACTTCTGCGTAATCTAGTTTTGCGTGATGCATATCTGTAACATCTAACATGTAAAATCTAATGAGGGACTGTTTACCAGTTAAATAAAATATAGTTGGATCATTTAAAATACCACATCAGGCAAAAGCATATATTGGTGAAAAAAAAGTCAAACCAATTTACATGTGAAGTACTGAAGCCACATCAGACCTTAATGCAAATGGAAAAGTAAAACTAATTTCACCTTGAACCTACAAAATATTTAAGTTGCGTTCAATTTGTAAATCGAGCCTTATACATGCGTAAAAATAGTAGCATCTAGTTATAGTCCCAGAGTTTTGACTCAAAGTTAATTCTCAATTTTGTGATTCCCAGAAACGTGGAAACGGAGTTAGTGGGTGGAGCAGTCTGGTGTTATCCAGGTTTGGCATGGTGTGCGCTTGTTCACGTTTCCTGTGAGTGGTGATCTCGTGTTTGTTATATGTTAAGCCACCTGCTGTATAACAAACAGAATACAAATGCAGGAAGACAACACAACAGTCGGCAAGCGCACAAACGTGTGCATGTCTCCCTCATCATGCATCACTGATGGCATATTCAGGATGTAGTGTTTAAGGGTCAGAGTGCATGTGTGTGTGAAAGAGTCGTAGACCATCCTGTATCCATTTTTAGATGAGTTGCGTATGGCACAACTGAGGCTACAGCTGTATAGCGTGTTAACTATTTGTGTAGTATGACCTCGGTCTATTGTTCTGAGTGCTATCTGGATGGTCAGCCTAACCGGCTAAGCATTGGAGGGGGATGGGAGGAGGGAGGGGGGCGGTGGCACCTCTTTTCAGTGCTCCACACTTTACTGGAGCTGACAACCTGAAAATCTAGCTTGAAGCACAGGATGTGTAGAAAAATGAAGAAAATGAAATCTCTTATGGATCATAACAAATTACAAGAATCTGTTAAATTTCCATTTCTGTACTGTAAAAGTAGAATGTATACATCGTAGTAGCATTTGTTGTACCACCATTAATTTATTCTAAAGGGATTTATTTTTGTAACAAGCATTGCGTCCGGACAGGATGCTTCTAATTACTGTTTTACAATAAACTTATTGCAAATTTATGATAAATGCATATTACAAACTTTTAAATAAAACATTTTGTTATTTGGGTGAAATGTGACCTATGTTCTTGGTGAGGTTTACCCATACAAGATTTAAAAAAAAACAAATGGAGGTAAAAGAGATGTAATCCCCAGGGGTGAGGGTTACTGCGATGTCAAGGCCTCTCACTCTTCACTTGATCGTATCGCTTGTGTTGTTCCAAACACACTCGAATACCAATTAGTTTCCGCCAAAAAGTGCCAATTAGCTTTCAGATAACAATCAGTCTCTGATAAAAGACCTAATTAAAAGATCACAAACCTAGCTTCCCAGCGATAAGTGATTTAACCTTGCTCTGAACTTTTTTGAAGCGGTAAACTGTCCAAAGCAAATATCAAAGTTGACTATGACTGCATCCACCACTGACAATATTTAATGTAACACTTTCCAGGGTTTTGAACAACTGCTGACAGGGATCGAGAGAGAAATAACCTCAGACAGCTTAGTGCAGCCACTGCCGTCAACAAACACAGAGATCACATTCACAGATTTTTCAGATTTTAAGAGGGTTGAGGTTAAAGACGGGGACTGAAACCCCATCTATGGCCACTTTCAAATTTGAGTAAATTCACTGTTAAATCAAGGCTTCTATGATTTAATATCTAAAAGCATAAAAAGAATTTACAAAAAAATGTTGGCTAACTGTTTTTGAACCGCTGTCAACAATTTGCTGAGCTCCAACAATGTGGTTCAAGCCTACAACTGAAAATACAAAACTCATCAAACGCTTTCCTTTCACAATTTAACAAAGTACTTTTTAATGTCCTTCATTCTCTATTATCATCAGATCAGGATGAGCATGAATGGCACACTGGAGAAGGGGGCTCATCACCAGGCCCTCGACCTCTCTGAAGAGCTCCCAACCAACAGCCATCATCACCACCACCACCATCACAATCACACCAGTCTCCAGCACACAAACTCCTTGGCCTCCACTGTGCCAGCCGGGACCCCAGTAGGTGGGTCTGGAGTGGTTGTGCCGCCGCCTTACTCCGCTGCGGAGGCTGGGGGAGGTGAAGCTCTGCTGGAGCTCCGGGGCTCTCTGGACTGCTGGGCGTGCTCAGTGCTGGTGACAGCGCAGAACCTGGTGATCGCGGCCATCAACGCCTGCCTGGCCGGGTTGGTTTTCGGGCTCATCCTAATTCCTGCTATTGTCATGGTGGTGTTCGGCTTCATCTGTCATTCAACGGTAAGAACTGAAATCAAAAGAAATGAAAGTTTTTTTCAGGTTTTTCATTTTTCATGTGTAGAGGACTTTTAAGTAGGTCCACAGGAACAAAATACAAGCTGTTTAATTCTTCGGGTCAGAGGGTAGGAGGCTTTCATAAAATCATAAAAAAGTGGACTTAAGAAAAAACTATTTATGATTTTATAATTTATTAAGATTAATATATATTTACAATTTATCAGAAAAACACGGATAAAGACTTAGTACATTAAATAACGTTTATTAGTACATTAAACTTTACTCCAAAGTTGCTCCAAAGATCATAAATATACTATGGGCCAGACTTACTAACAGCTTGCACCAGCACAAACCGTCTTTTGGCGTTAAAATAGTATTGTCAGGATTTACTAAAGATGTGCAGTGAAGAATTGGCGCCGAAAAGGCGTGGACAATTTTTTTTTGCACATGACCTTATTGAATATGCATTTATAGGAGTTTCCCTTTCAGGCGCAAAATTTATGGTTGGAGATTATTAAAATTAATCACGCAACGCGATTTACTAACGTTTGCGCTCATCAAATTACTGGTATTTGCGCCATTATTTAATGCCTAAAAAAAAGCATGTCTGAAAGCAGGCAGTAATTTGCGCTGCTTTTGGTAGATTGCGCTGGTCATTATGGAAATTATCTGGCTGCGTTTGTGTTCTTTAATGTGTGCATTGTTAGTAAATCAACCGCAGAATTTTCCCCTCCAATCGGCGCTTTTATGGAATTGCGCTCTTACGCTAATTTGCCCTGTTTAGTAAATCTGGCCCTATATGTAATATATAATACTGCATATTACATATGATGCACAACCAGTATGTAGTATGGAAAAAGTTGCAAAGTGTAAAGAGTTAATCTAATGATAATAATAATAGATAAATCAATAGATAATATTTATCCAAACCATCTGTAAGGTCTCAAATGCACGACCTTTCTAAAATTTGAGCTGTTAATGTAATGTAACGTTATCAGTTTTACGTTCAGTATTATGGTTTGAAGGCATGTACTGTTCCAGTTTCAGATGAATGAGTGGAAATGAATGATTAAACGAGTATTTAGTTATTCCTTTAAGGGAAAAAACAGCTGTAAACAGCTGCCTAAATAAAATATAAACGGGTATTTAGTTTAATGTTAAAAAAAAAAAAAAAAAAGCCAATCTGGGCAGTGGATTTCTTTTCATTTTACAAGCTCTTGAATTCAGAGGTATGAAAAAGGTTTGAAGTATTATGTTCTCGTGGGTATAATGTTTTATGGTATGATAAGATCATATTTAGATCTTGGAACAATAAAATCCACTGAAAAACAGTCATTTATGCTAAAAACATTGAAAATTTGGTCCCTGAGATAAACAGTATTGCTGCTAAAGGAATGTCCTTTATAATCTGGGAAAAAGACTCAGAATAAAAGCTAATCATGATTCAGAGATATTCTTCTAGGGATTTATGGGAGTTTGGCCTCTGTTTCTCTTTGATTCTTACTTGTTTTGTTTCTTACTTTGATTTAAGTAATCTCTTAATCTTGGGCTTTCTCAGCAGTCTGAGTGCAGGAGTATTAGCAGGGGCAGGTCAGGAGTTGGGAGGATGACGTCAGATGAGGAGTGTTTTCAGGACAGAAGTGGATTACTGGAGTTTAAAAACCGTTTTCTCACAAAGTTTTATAGCGACCGCCCTCGACATTCTTGCACTTTGACCCACAGAAGAGTAGATCTACTGCTTCTCCACCGTATCAGCTCTGTTCATTTTCAACAAAAGACTCTCACATTCTACTACAGAATTAACAGACAAGTTTCTGTAAAATACAGACCTTTCATCTCACTATTACAGGCTCTTCATCTCTTGCTAGAAGAAAACCACTTAAAGGGGACATATGATGCGATTTCAATTTGTCCTTTCATAGAGAAACAATAATGTACAGTATGTGGAAAATAATGTGTTTTTTTAACCTTAAACCGCATAAACACATTTCATTACACCAAATACACAAAATAATGTTCTTTTTAGCAGCATCATATGACCCCTTTAAGTTATCTTCACGTAGCACCCATGGGTCAGTAAGGGACAATGTGTGTAAATAAAGGCTGAATTCTTCTGACCTCTCCAATTACCAGACCTTTAGGATCCAAGATCAATGGCCACTCGGACCAATTAGTCCCCATGTGACACTAGATCACCTACGAAAGAGAGATAAATCCAAAGATCTGTACGGAGCAACAGACCACCATGGTATTCCATAGAGTAAATAGTTTGTCATTTCAAATAAGCAGTCAACTACTCAGGATTCTGTCAAGATGCATAATAGGATAATTTATAAACAAAGCATTAACTCCAACTAATGAATAAATCTGCATAATTTAAGACCAAATCTAAAAGACTGAAGTGATGGGTGTGCATTTCTCTCTAGATGTTGGATCCTTTCTAAACATATGGTTAACATCAAGGCCACATAGGTGCATCAGTTCCCTGAAACTACTCTGTTCAGCTCTAATCTTATCTGCACACACAACAGTTCTACAGACAGCTGGAATCCCTCATACTTTAGAGACATACCAAAAGAGAACTGTGGCTGATTTCTAGATTTGAGAAGATTTACATTTTATTGCATCACATCACCCTTTGACATTTTCTAAAACTTTTTACAGCCCAAAAATGACAATTTACTCACCCTCAGGCCATCCAAGAAGTAGATGAGTATGTTTCTTCGTTGGAACAGATTTGGATAAATTCAGCATTACATCACTTGCTCACCAATGGATCCTCTGCAGTGAATGGGTGCCATCAGAATGAGTCCAAACAGCTGATGAAAACATCACAATAAATATTACATTTCTAACCACAATGAAATTCATAAAAAAAAAAAATTTTTTTTTAAAAAGTTTGCTTTTCACAGATGCAGCTGTCACAATATCATTTAATGACAGGGGGATCTCTAATAAATGTCTAACTATAACTCTTCAAGAACGCTTTGTTTTTAGTAGTGATTTTTACAAGCATTTACTTGAGTGAAGAAACCTGTCAGAGTGAGAAAGTGCAGCTCAAATTGCAGATGGGCTTTATCAGTTTTCTCCCTCCTACTCTGTTTACTCAGTCTCCTGTTTTTCCTGCCTATTACTCTCCTTTCCTTCAAGAATGTGGGGGTCTTTTTATCCCTCAATCCTTTCCATCCTGTGCAATGCCAATTAACCAAAAGAATTAAAATGATGTATAATGTATATTTGAAGTCTCTGTGCATATACAATTATTGAAGCTTTTGGCAGGCTGATGCAGAATCTATATTTTGGTAGTGATCGGGCACAGAGCAGCTCAAAGGGAGAAAAAAAAGCCTTTACAAGTTTATCATACATATTTCAAACAATGTCAACTGCACTTCTAATATTAAATGTTTGCACATTTTAGCGATACTTTCCCAAGGAAATTTTTACAAAGCAAAGGTGATATATTGAGGTTTTAGTGAATCAGACCAACAGTGTCAAAATATAACATTAAATAAAAAAATAAAAAAAATAACAACAATAATAAGAAATAAAAAACACTACCTTGGAAGTAACAAACGATCAACTCACTAAAGCAAGCAAGCATATGCTGTTGGTAGACATTCTTGTCCAGTGTGTCTGTTCTTCGTCTGTCCACACCTCAGAGATGGTGTTTCTCCAGGGACACTTAATTTCTCTTTGACCCTCCTCAGCAATGCCTACATGCATTCCACCACTCATCCTTGACCCCACACAGGTCCACACCAGTCAAATGCCTCTCTTTTCAGGTGCGCCCGCACGGTTCATCACCATACTGTTCGGATCTACTGACTGACGGTGGCTGTGTGGCTCTGCTGGTTGTGGGTTTCTTGCTAGTGGCTCCACTCCTAGTTCTGGCCTTGGCTGCGTATTGCCGGCTTGCTCGTCACCTTCAGTTGGGTCTGTGTTTTATTCCGTACAGCCGTGCCGTCTACAAGAACCTTCCAGCTACCCAGCACCGTGGCTTGACAGGGGGCTGCTGTGGACAGCGATCTGGGAAAGGAGAAGGGAAGGGGAAGGTGTGGGTGTAAAGGAAAAGGACTACACTTCTGTTGTACTGGAGATATGGAACGTTGTGAAAGAACACAGTACACATTATAGACCAAAAAATCCCCTCACTAAATATTTCAATCTATATGAGACAAAGAATTCCTATTTACCGATTTACATTTTTTTATAGCCAAATACACCGTTTGTCAATTTCTGATGCCTACATATTTAATGCAACTATTATAGCACAATCAGTTTTAATTAGTCAATTTCAGTACTTGACATTTATAAAATAATCTAATTCAAATATCCAAAAATTATGTGTATGTACTCTTTGTATAACAAACACTATCTGCCTTATAAATAGTCAGCACATTTTTCTTAAGACATTGTCAAAAATATTTTATATTTTTTTCTTATAACCTGTACAGTGTTGTGTATTTCCCTTTTATTAAATGTTAGGCCTATATACGAATCATTAAAAACTGTAATTTCACAGAACTGATGGGCTGTTCTCCTAATTTTGCACAAGATTTATTTAGACAAAATAAAAATTACTCATAAGTCCGATTCAGAGGGAAGTTGTTTCTCATGGGGACACGTACATAGAATGCATATTTATTACTGGAAAAAAATACTGTATTTACAAGAACAATATTTCATAACTGCTCCACCAGCTAGTGGGAGCTGTTAACCCGTTTAATCCCAAATTTTTTCCAGACATGAAAATATCCAGATAGTGTGTCATTAGTGGCCCTTTGAAATAATCATGAATTATTATTTTTTTAGTTTTTTGGAAAAGTGAGAAAAATTGTGTTTTATAGTCTGTCACAATTGTGACCGGTGGAATAATGTGTATACTGAATTAACATATTTCTGCAGTCATAAAAATTGTTATATATCTCAGCCCAGCTATTTTAAACTGTTTCATCACATTCTAGGGTTACTATTATGCCTAAAAACCCTTGTACAACACTGATAGGAATACTGAGATAAAATACCAAGAAAAATTCGACAGCGTCGTCATTTGTGCGCGGCGTTCAACAACAGAAACAAAGAAGAACAACATTAACAACAGGAGGATGGAGGACGCTGTGATCGGAGCTGTGTTTTTGTTGTGTCTCGCGGGTTTCACAATAATGGACATGGAAAGCCAACGTATACGTAAAGCGATTGAAAGAACGGAAAGGAGGACTAAGAATCTCCAACAACAACTGGCAGTGCTACATTTGCTACAAGTGACTGCACTTGAGCGTCCGTCCATCTATCGCTGTTCTCCATACTTGCGAAATAAGTTGACACAATGTTTACAGTATGTACACGGCGTTTTAAAT